CAATAAAATCTCCTGGTAATAATATTAAGCAATTCAAATCCGCTTTACTAAATTATTACCTGAGATCCCTGATTGAATGCTTCAATGAAGAAGATCCGAGGACATGGCAGACTATTTGTCTGAAGTGCAACACTATAGCCGTCTCTTACATTCTAAATTAACTTGTTGTTTTTTGACTCCTGTCATATTGTATATGTTAATTGTGTGTATTTTTGTTCAAAGGGCCCACAGTAATTGGTTTTCACTGTTGTGGTGTCCCTGCAATTCTTGTCCTTGTTTTGTTCAGACGCCTGTTCGACGTCCTGTCATTTCTATTGGCAAAGTTAAATAAATAAAGGGATAAATAATAAAATACTGGACCTATAAGAAGAACAGTTTAGAACTGATAGTGCTATCCAGTATAAATAAGGATAGTTTAGCTTAGGCTCCATCCATACGTACCCGGTTGTTTTTAAAAACGGAGGGTTTTTTATCCGTTTTGTCCTTGCGTCCAAACGTAACCGGCGTTTTCGGCAACAAAAGACGGAGGTCAGTTTCAAAAACGCTCTCCAGAGTGGAGATTTTCAAAAACGCCGGTTAGTTGTTTACGTGTGGACGGACGAAAACGGAGGATTTCGAATTCGATGACGTTTATAATCGGATCCAGTCTATAACAGGCCATTAACCGCGCGTTTTTTGTACCTCTTCAAGATGGTGAACTAAAATTGCTTGGCTGTTTTACTTTGGCCAATTTCATAATTTCAAGTCTAATAACATGTATTCAGCTTCATGCTACTCTGCTAAACCTCCACGGACAGTGTTTAAAAAAGCGAAAGAATATGATGAAATTGCTTCCCGTCTCGATCAGCAGCAAGATCACGACGATTTTGGTCATTTATTCATTTTAGTTCAAGAAAGAGCGCGCATAAAGTGAACCTAAAGCAAATAAGCGGAATTGTTTTTAAATTCCGCTAAATTAACATAGTTGTTATCTAGGCGCGCATAAATTATTGGAATTCGAGCCCTGCGATCGTTTGGAAGCGCTTATATTACTTGGACATGCGCATGTTCTACGCCTGGCGCTATCAAATTTCCTTCGTAATTTACTTCAAATTTAGTCAACCATGGGCAAAAAAGATTCCAATACGCTTCGTATGGACACGAATTTCTTAAAAACGGAGAAAAAAATATCCGTTTTTAAAAATATCCGGATACGTGTGGACAGGTTCTCAGTGTGTGTTCTACGTGTCGGTCATCGTGAACTGTTATCGTTTGTCACAGGGGCGCTGGAACCACGGGGGCAGCGGAGGAAGCTCCTCCCCCTGCTCTATGCTTACGGGGGCGAGCAGCGCAGGCCTGTGCCCTTTGCTACCATATAAAAGTATCATAAATTCAACATTATTTTTAATCATGATGCCTACTTTTCGCATAAAAACTAACCGGTAATATTATTGAAAATGCGTTCTCTCGTGGATTTGCAAGTTTTAATGTACTTGTAAATTTGAGTTTTCTCTTCGTGTAGTTGCTGAGGTAAAATGAACGTGCCCTTTTCTAAAACTCTGCTCCCGCGCCCTAAACTGCTTCCGGCGCCCTGTTCGTCCCATGCATGCTTGATTTCTTGCAATTGTTTCTGTGAGATTTCAGCAGCGTGTACAATGACAATGCATTTTTGTTTAGTCAGATCTGGCTCTCGAAGTAGCCTACTTCGCACTAATTTGTCGTCTCGAATTCCTACTACTAATTTGTTGCGAATTAGGTCATCTTGAAGGCTACCATAAGCACATTTCTTAGCTTCTCATTTTTTTGAAAACTGATCGGCGTTCATATTAATCCCACCGCTGCCACAATGTAGTTTGACTTGTAGTTTATTAAGTAAAGGATAATGACCTCCAAATACATGAGAACTAATATAGTGTCCCGAAAAAATCCCCCCCCCCCCATAGCATAGTTATTAGGTTGAGGCATTCAAATAAAACGTCTTGCTTTCAATTGGGTTTATCATAATATTAAGGCAATCAGATTCTAGATTGCGAGGCATTTTTTTGGGACACCCTGTATATGCATATACCTATCGTAAGATCATTAATCATATCAAATGTCAAAAATATGTTCAATAAACTTGAATATTTCAACTAATACAAAAGATTTGTTCAGCTAAACGGCTTTTGAGCAACCGACCCCCGAAGTGAAAATATGCTATTCTTACTAACAATTTGTTTCAGCCTCGTATTTGCTAATTTTATGTCCGTTTCGTATTGAAGATGTTACGCAAGGCTTTATTGTGTTTAGATATATATAGGCATATAAAAAGACATATAAAGACATTGTCATTCAATAGAAACCTGATCTCTCATAATGTGTAAAAATTTCACCTACAATATCCTGTTGAAGTTGGATTACGTTTTTTTTTATACACCCTGTGTATAGGTAAAAATCTATTCAATTTATTCATAACAATTCTTATCTCATTTGACATAAAATTCAGAACATGGCGTGCGCCTGGTTCGCGTATTAATATTGCTATGACTAATTGTCGACACAGATCGGACGCGATTTGGCAACGCAACGCTAATTTTCAGTTTTCACAAGCACATAAATTATTTCTCGAGGCAAAAGTTGGAATCTATGGACGCCAGAGTAGTCAAAATGTATTCTCGTTAAGTAATCTACAAGTATATAATAATAGTTTAAATTTTATTAGCTTTTGGAAAATGAAAAACTTTTAAAAATCGCAGGGTTGCCAAATGAAAATCGCGTCCGGTATGTTTGGACCTTAAAACGAGATAAATGTGATATTTTACTTTGAAATTTGGTTATTACAGCGCAGATTAGGCTTTCTATAGCAAACTCCTAAAATATTCATTTCGGCCGTTAATCAGGTCCATTATTATCTGATATTCATAAGCATTATAGTTCAACTGGACATTACGTTATAAATCCCATATCTCTCACATGCAGGCTCAATCCAAATATATTTAGCACTGTTAAATCATCAGCTACAAATTTGTTGTAGCAGACGCTTTCAATTTTCCCGCAAATCATTTTAATCGAAACTTTGAAACAGTCAGAGCTCTTGTGTTGAATATTAAGGGGTGTTTGTAAAAAAATTTTTAGTAGCTTTTAATAAGATGGTTAGATGCCGTTTAGTGAAATAGTTATATAAACTGACATTTTAGACAGGGGAATTAGGCGTCACCTAAATTGCATGTATCTATCAGGCAACAAATCTAGAGTTAAAACCTTTTCAGAACTCGTGTCTAGCAGTGTTCCTTTGGCAACAGGGATTGATTACCAACTGTAATTGGCGGTAAAAAAGACCAAAAACAAGGAAAGACTTTGATGGATGCTTGATCGATGATTAGAATTTCATGCCATAAACAAAACAGTTTGACATGCATACGATCTTCGATCAAATTATCAATCTTTTGAAATTCCCGAACTAAGGCCAGTTTCAGACATCGAACGTTTCATGTGCTAAATCGAATGCAAATGAACTTCAACAAAGCCTTTAGTTCATTTGCATTAGGTTCGGTGCATGAAAAGTTCGACGTCTGCCGAAAACTGGCCTAATGCATTATAGTCAATTTATATTGATTATTGTAGTATAGCCTCAGTTTATATTACCAATTAAAACCCCGTTGTGGGTTTTTATTACAATTGTATTCGTTGACTACATATGGAATATAAGCTTATTGATTAAAGAAAATGAGGCGCCGCTTCCATGCAGAAGAGGAATAATTGTTGTTATTATACGACAGGTGAAAACTGCTCGTAAGTTTCTTTCTAAACTTGTTGTTAATATCTTTAATTTATCATTTTTGTTTTGCCCGTTTAGTTAGTAGCCCAAAAGTTCTCCATTAGTGAAACGTGAGGATAGCTAGGGTGCCATTCAGGGGGCCCACCGTTATACAATAGCCCACTCTGAGTAATATCAAGCATGCAACCAGATTAATGGACTTATATTAATTTTCTGTTTTGCAATTTAAATACTCCACTTGTACACAGGACACTTCGCAAGGCCAGAATGCGTATCATCTGCATAGGGCTAAAATAACAAATACTATAAACCTGTGTTACCTGAGTTTGATAATATTTATAAAATCTAAAAGCACGTCTTTTCCTCTCATCGCAAAATCCAGCAACGCGCAAGCTCGCTGCGAGTGTTTGCATCTAATTGAAATAAACTGTCAAGCATTGTGATTGGACGAAATTACACACAGCGAGCTTGCGAGTTGGTTTTTGCAATGAGTGGGTGAGATGATGTACGTGATCCCTTTTCGTTTTTGCAAAAAGCCCGTTTTTACTGCGTGAATTTGTAAATGATTTTTATATAATATATTAGAGTGAACATTCGTAAAAAGTAATAAGCGATCGCACTTTCTAGCGAGAAATTACTTTGCTTACCTATCACATCATTGCCTTCACCAAATTTAAGTTTCTCCCTTCTCTTCGCGCGAATAAATTTGCCTAGTGGAGAACGGCCTTCAACTCACATAAGATAAACTTTTATTCTCATTATTTAAATTAAAATTGCACTAAAAAATTGTCGTTGAAGGCAACAAGATTTCAGTTATTTCAAAGTAAATGGAATTAATGAGATGCATAATTCATGTAACAGTCAATTTCATCACAGTAACGATGGCTTTGTTGACAAATTTTCAATGTTTTAGTGCATTTTTATCCCAAATAAATTATTCGCCATTGGGCTGTCTATGGACAGATCATTCAAGATTAGTTGTGAAAACAGCTCAAAACGCGGATAAAGGAATGGATATCAAGGAGGTTCATGAAAAACGTTTAACCAGAAAATCGTTGCAGACTTTGGCGTATATAGTTAACACGGCTAAGGTGACGGTATATAGTTAACACACTAAAGTGATAAATAAAGTGATGATGATGATGACACAACAATTCATTAGCAGTTTGGCGTTTAAAGTAACTGCCAATCTCATACGGTCTCTATTAATGCCAAGCGCTGCATGTGCTCAACTCATGTAAAGCAAAATTGTTTTCACGTGATGTATATTGTAATATTTATTCGAGAAAAACCTAACAAAAATGACATTTATTAACGTTAGTATACCGATTTCAATTATACAAAGACAAAAGTAAAAATGTTGAAAACACAAAACATTAAGTCAACCGAGTTTCTTAAAATAACTCAGTTCACAAATTTACACTACAAATTGCATCAGGTAATTAAGCTTATTAAATTCAAATTTAATTCGGTTTCAATTTGTTCGGTCGAATTATCATGTTAACGAATGCCTGCACTGATGAGGCGGTTTGGCAGCGGTTTGTGACCATTCTGGTTGAAAGCAACACCTTTGTAAGCTTTGTTTGAGACAGCCGATGTGCGGAAGTAGGCAGAGGTTGTGTCACCACACCAGTGATTGCACTTTTTGTAACAGTTTTTGGTGAACCCGGAGACGTGCAGTCCCTTGTAGAACGTTGTGTCACATATCAACAATTGGAATTTGTACTGCGTTGTGGCTACACCTTGCGCCGTCCACAAGCCATAAGCATTTGCCTGCTTATCGTAATTTCCAGTGAATGTCACAGGTGGACCACTCTTTTTAAAGGCTGCTTTTTGCTTGGATTTCTCATCAACAAATATCGCTTCAGTGAACTGAAAATAGAAAGAAATTACTTTTACATTAACTATTTTATTAATTATTATTTAAATTCAAATATATTAATTACTTATGAAATTTTCATATCTGTTATACTTCCGCAGACCGCAGAACAGTATCACGTGCGCAAGTGTGCGCGAGGATGAATTTTGAAAACAAAGTTTTTGTGTAAAGAATATTACGTTTGGCAGTAAAATGCAGAGGAATTGACGAATTGTATGCAGAAGCGTAAACATTATCCGAAAAGAAGTTGGTAATCATGCGATGGCGAGTACAATTCGTGATTAATACGACCGGTGATTAATGGAACAACTTTACTCCTCTCGACCAATCAGCAACCAGAATTTTTAGTACGCTAATAATGAATTTTTACCGCAAAATGAGGAGGTATTTGAGCTTCGAAAAAGTGCCATTGGAGCAATAATTTACAAATACTTCTCATTTGACCACATTTTATTTCAAAGGTATGTCATAGGACAATTTCGACATGATACAATTCGACCGTTTTATTGGAGTAAAGTCAATTTACCGGTATGTTATTACAATCTGCACGATAGCCAAGGGCAGGTGTGGTGACAAGTTCAGTTTTGATATTAACATGACTGTCCGTCGTGTAACACATTGTCCATCCTCCACCAAACGAGGTCATATCACAGTATACTTGAAATGGTTTACCAGCGCCATCTCCGTCTGGATCAATCAAATATTCTCCATCTCCGACACTCAACCCTCTCTTTTTTATATCAAGACAACTCGTACCTTGAAAAATTGGTAAAAATTATTTTCTATAGTCTTAATTTTCTATGATCTATAGCCTTTATGGCATGACAGAATTATATATTAATTAGTGAATAGCGAGAAAAAATCGCCATGCTGCGATAGGTCTATATGCATGGCATACTTAATTTGGAAGTGATACCTGATTGAGGAGAGCAATTTCGTTTCTTAGAACGCCAGTACTTGCCATCGCAAAACTGCAGAGCAACTCGGTACGTTCCTTCTTGATTTTCTGAACATTTCTGGACTAAGGAAGATTGAAGAGTCTGCAAATACAAGAGAGACAGAGATATAGACACAGATATATATTAATGTAAGAATTGGAACTGCAAAATCTCTGTGAATACAAAATGGGGACACAAATAATTATATCAAACTTTCATATAATAATTATTCATTTTGAGCCTGATTTCTGTTCAGCAGCGCCTTCCTCTTGTAAGAAGCTTTCAATGAAAGATTATAGTTCTGATTTTAGTCCAATAAGTATCCAAATATTACTATATAGAAGTCACCGAAACAACAATATAGCAACATGTATCAGTTTTGCTAGTCATATAATTATAAACAATTTATACAATTGGTATATAGTTACTTCATAGTTATTTAGTTTATTTATACAACACAATTCCAAATTTTCTGCCATGTTTCATCTTTATCTCCAGTTTCTACGGATATTTCCAATTTTGACCATAATATAAGACTATAATATTCACTACATTCTTTTCGAGCAACACTGGTGATTTAACAATTATACTCCTTCCTGCCAATTGAAGCGCATTTAACATGACTTTCATTGTATCACGTTGTATTGACATTATATTCTGTCTCATTTAATTCATACTTTTCAAATGTCATATAATGTGGACTATAAAGGATAATCGTATCAGCAATGCATGGTATTCAGATGGTGGATCCAGCAATAGTGCACTAATTTGCATGAAACAAGAAAACTGCTAAAAATAACAACTTTGTTTTGTAATGCAAATTAGTGCACTAGCGCTGGATCCACCCCTGATGGTATTGGTATGGATTACCTCGTTTGGTGCTATAAATCTTACTAATAACATTCTAAAAATGTTACTAATAACATTCATGTTACTAATAACATTCACTTGTTATATATTGTTGGCACTAATTATATGTAAAAGGTCGTCACATGAATGTGTACGTTAATGTGTAAGTAAAGCCAGTTTTCCACTAGCGATATTTTTCACGCGAAGCGAATTTATTTGCGCTTTGTATTTGAACAATAGACCTAATCAGCTTCCATGCAAATTAGCCCATTTCAGATGTTGTGACCATGGAACAGCCAATAAAACTTAACCATTTCAGACCATGTGAGCTCTTTGCTTAAAGTCCCTAACCTGCTTGCCCCAAGCAATACAAGTACGCTTAGCGTACCTATTTTTATTCAGTGATATTCCACTCGTCTTGGTGAATAATTGTTAAATAATAATTATTTTGGCTAGTATAAAGAACGGTAAAAAGTTCATTGCCATGCATGAGAAACTTATATCCAGCTTTCGCGAATAGAAATATGAGAAACGAATTTCATCACGGGACAGATGGGTTCTCTTTATCGAAATTTGAATATAAAGGTCACACTTGAGCGGTGATTAACAGACCCGCGGTTTACTTACTTTAGATCTACCCTCAGCCCCATTTAAAGAAACCAGAGTTATACAAGCAAAGACACCAATCTTCAAGCAAATCATCTTTGTATAATATACAATATTGCCAACTCAAGGAGACTCTTCAGTTACCTAAAGCTGAAGTGGAAAAGTTTAAGTGTATGTTAATCTGCCCCATTATTTATAATCAGGGCCATAAATAGATGCTGCAATTGACCTTTCGCACAATAGACCAACTTTTGATTTAGGCAACGAAAAGAGAATTTCCCAAACCTGCATGCTAAACTTAGGGGCTGTTTACATGAGCCCTATATAGGGAGGGGTCCTACCAAGCGAGATGGTGCGTGCTACTATGAATCCATAGGGCTGAACTTTACAATACATTTCTGTTTCAACCAATAGCATAGCTTCGTTCTTTAGAAAGCATTATCCAATTGGGCGAAAGCTATCGAGCACTGCGACATGTCCCTCAGCAATTACACCATTTGACGGTTCCTTCGTTAATTTTCCAAAGCAATAACAGAGTACATTGTTGAAAAAACATTAGGAAAAGTTAAGATACTTTAAATGAAATTGTGAAAATAACAGTTTTGTGTTTTTTGCCAGCCATTTTTTTGGCGCCTATACGGGTTGCCCAGACTCGGCCCTAAACCTGGTGCTAGAATTTTACATGTAAACATGGAAGGGAAAACAGCGCTACAGGTTAATTGGGGTTATGTTATGATGTAAAGCCTTAAATAGTTGGGTACGTCTTCGCAAAACGACATACCAAGCCCGTTTCAGCCGTCGAACTTTTCATGTGGCGAATCAAGTGCAAAATGTAAACTGTTTCTGCTTCGGTGTATTCAGTATTGTTTAAATTACGAATAAATTTGAAAGTTGTTTTTATCCAGCGCTTGTGTATGTTAAAAAAGTTATTTTGCTCAATCTCATCGTATAGTGACTAATATAGCTAACTCGGCGCTGGACGCCTCGTCGATTATCAGCAAAATAACTGTTAAACATATAAATCTCAATTAATATACAAATATAAAATCCCTTGCAAATATCACTCTTACTGAAGGAGGTTTGAACCAAATGATGTTGCGTAGCCTGTTCCTGCCAGAGTCCAGCGGATTTGTAGCGGTAAACATGCACCACATGCAGCACCCCAGCGCGTTCACGTTTTCCTTTGTCGTCAATCTCTATATAGTAGCTGAATGCAACCAGTATATATAACATTTGTTTTCCAAACTTAAAGCGCCGTGGTACGATTCTGGCCTAGCGAGCTCGCGTGTTAATTTCGCGTTTAATTATTGCGGTGAGCTTTCTTAAAACGCCAAGACGAATGATACGCGCTGAATCTTCGTCGCTAGTGCATTAGCTTTGCTTTAATATTTATTGGTGATGTATTTTTTAGAATTTATACCTGCTTTTATCACGTTAGGAATAGAATAATTGTGATCCACCAAAGAGACGGTTTACATCAGCCCGGTTACCCGAGATTCAGCAAAGTGTGAGAAGACTCTGAGGTGTTGACTCAACAAACAAGCACATGCTATTGACAGCCAAATCATTAGTGCATGCTACCTATATATCAAGAAAACAAAGAAAACAAAAGTCCAAGGCAAAAAAAGGGAAGAAAACACAAGTTGAAAACAAACAAAACAAAGAGAACAAAAGTCCAATACAAGTAAAACAAAGAAAACAAAGAACTAGTGTGATGTTTCTTGGTCTCGCATATATGCAGCTATCTACCAGCCCTATGTCTGGTGATTACACGACTGCCAAGATCATGTTCTATGCTCATTTCAATACTTAAAGTCATATCCAGCTTCGTTCTCGGTTAAAACACCTAAATCACCAGTAACCTCCCTGCATTAAAATTCAGTAGATCGTGTTTGACCGTTCAGGTAATGTAAAAGATATTAAGTGTCTATATTTTAGTCATTTCATTTTTTAAAGTAGAATTATTTCTAATATAACATTTATAGTACGCGGCTACGCGCGTCAATGTACGCGTAATTTCCTAATTGATCAATCTGTTTATTTTTCATACAAAAATGGATCAAACTTTGAGCTTCTGAGTAAAATACTTTCGTGCTGTATGAAAAGAAAATAGAAAAAACTATTTCCTTCAAACTTATGGTGAAAATTGCGTATACTTAGTTCAGCTTATAAAACAATTAATCATGATTTCGAACTGTGTCTATCACATCTGACGTAAATGGGAGGAGCTAAACTGACACCTTGCGAAATTTCTTTATGATCCACGGGGTGTCCGAATATGAGATAAAGGTTTCATTTCGGTTTCCCGAAACCGAGTAACTCATAATATGCATGGGCATGCTAAAGTAAATATATATGTACAATTTTCTATTAATCCGCTCTGCAGTCTAATGTGTAGTAATTTAATTATTTGTCATTTACAAACCCCTTGAATACAGTTTGATGTATATATTGCTAAATATAAATATATTGAGAACTAAACTCTTTTACGCTTTACGGAACCTCGTAATATCGCTCTTCCTGTTTACTTCAATTTTAATTTCGAACAGCACGTAGTAGAGAAGGAAAGGCGCTAGAGCTAGTTATTCTGCATTCGACGGCTGAAAACTCTTTAAACTGACCCAGGCGTCGTACTTCTGCCTTGTAAATTCCGTCAATATAATAATTTGAATGGTTTTTCATTTTACAACAAGAAAACAAAGAAAACAAAAGTCCAAAACAAAGGAAACAAAGAGCCATTGTGACAGAGTTTGGAGTGGCCTCTAAAGTTCACAAATCTAGCAACCCTGCATTGAACAAAGATTTATTATATTTGGTCATGAAATTGGGAACAAATATCAACCTAGACCGGAAAAATATCGCCCACAAATACTCTTTCAATTGTTTGTTTTTTCGTTGTGCATAATTATACAGGGGTTGGACAAAAAAAAGTAGCCCCCGACGAAATGTTGCACACTTATACCATTTCACTATAAATGAAGGTAGAGCCATGCAATAAATGTTTTGTGTTTGCGCGTATTTCTTTTCTTTCACGAACCTGCAGTTCAAATAAATTGTGATTATAAACTCCACATGAAGAGAATAAAATTCATTTGTACCACTGATATGGATGGTATGAAATTGTTTGTCAAATAAGTGTCTGTTTAATTTTAGTAATATATAATATGGCTAATTTATGAAATTTGCTTCAGGTCCGGAATTGTGCCTTATATGACCCCAAAAGACACAATACAGCCCATCTGAATTGCCGATTTTTATGGTCATGGAAATGTACCAAAAAACACCCCTCTGTAAAAACGTATACGCTTTACTTATACCTTAAATCTACGACATACGTACAATTAATTACCCTTTAAACCATATACACCTATGGGCTATGCATGTTTGAACGCAAATGTTGTGTCCCAGACCGACAGTGTTTCTATATCAAGCATTGTTTTCGGCGACCGGCCATGTTATAAAAAATTACTACCACGAATCCCCGGATCAGACAAAATCTTAAATCCCAATTTTTAGGGAATTATATTGGTATGTTGTACAATTTAATGGTGCATGAAACAGCTTGGTAATGATTAGTACTTAATCAATGAACAGAAACGTCAAGAAAGACATATTGTAATGATGTAGAACGCAAGTGAAATTAAATTGAGAGACCACGATAGAAGAATAAAACTTCTGCGTGAGGAGGAGGAGCTCCCATACCAATTGGTGTCTGACAGACTGGCAGGCGCCAGAGATTTGTGTAATGGCATGCATGCCCACAATATTCTTGAACAGTCTATTACACATGCGGTCAATCGTGCGTTTGAATAGATGGGAGAATACACAATATAATTTCTTGTATTTTCATATCTAAGCACACTTGTCTATAATATATAACATTTGTTTCCCAAACCTAAAGCGCCGGGGTACGATGCAGGTCTAGCGGGCTCGCGTGTTAATTTTGCGTTTAATTATTGTGGTGAGCTTTGAAATTCTTAAAACGCCAAGACGAATGATTCGTGCTGAATCTTCGTCACTAGTGCATTGGCTTTGCTTTAAATTTTATTGGTGATGTATATTTTTTAGAACTGATACCTGCTTTTTCACGTAAGGAATAGTAATTGTGATCCACCGAGATTTAACGAAGTGTGAGTGGATTCTGAGGTGTTGACTCAACAAACAAGCACATGCTATTGACGGGAAAATCATTAGTGCTATAATTATATCAAGAAAACAAAGAAAAAAAGTCCAAGACAAAGAAAGCAGAAAAAAAACGTATATATATATATATATATATATATATATATAATATATATATATATATATATATATATATATACACCCGTTTGCAAAAACGTTGGCCGCAGATAGATATATAGATAGATACTCGAAATCTAATTAGAATTGCATATGTTGTGTAATATGATTGAAATCCCATGCAAATGTAATCATATGCAATTCTAATTAGACTTCGAGTATCTATCTATCTATCTATCTGCGGCCAACGTTTTTGCAAATGGGTGTATATATATATATATATATATATATATATATATATATATATATATATATATATATATATATATATATATATATATATGCACATGCATATATAAATGCATTGATACCACGAGATAAATGCATGTATATCACGAGGTATTTGCATGGATATCACGAGATAAATGCATAGATACCACGAGGTGAATGCATGGATATCACGAGGTTCATGAAAAACGTTTAACCTGAAAATCATTGCAGACTTTAGTGTATATAGTTAAAACACAATAGTTCGTTAGCAGTTTGGCGTTTAAAGTAACCGCCAATCTAATAAGGTCTCTAGTTAATCCCAAGCGCTATGCACAACTCTTGTGAAACAAAATTGTTTTCACGTGATGTTTTTCGAGAAAAACGGTCAGTTACTATACCGAATTTAATACAAAGACAAAAGTACAAAAAATGTTCAAAACACAAAACAAGTCAACTGTCGAGGTTCTTCAAATAACTCAGTTCACAAGTTTACACTACAAATTACATCACGTAATTAACTTATTAAATTCAAATTTAATTCGGTTTCAAATAGTCCGTCGATCGCAAATTATCATGTTAACGAATTCCTGCGCTGATGAGGCGGTTTGGCAACGGTTTGTGACCATTCTCGTTGAATGCAACACCGTTGCAACCTTGGCTTGAGAAACAACTGGTGCGGAAGTAGACAGGAGTTTTGTCACCACACCAGTAATAGCACCGTTTGTAGCAGTTTTTGGTGAACCCGGAGACGTGCAGTCCCTTGTAGAACGCTGAGTCACATATCAACATTTGGTATTTGTACTGCGTTGTGGCCACACCTTGCGCCGTCCACAAGCCATAAGCATTTGCCAGCTTATTGTAATTTCCATTGAATGTCACAGGTGAACCACTTTTTTTAAAAGCTGCTTTTTGTTTGGATTTTTCATCAACAAATATCACTTCAGTGAACTGAAAACAGAAAGAAATTGCTTTACATTAACTATATTTGAATTAATAAAATTAATTACCATTTAAATTTATATAATTTTATTACCTATAAATTTTATATGAAATTTTCATATCTGTTACACTCCCACAGACTGCAGAACAGTATCACGTGCGCAAGTGTGCGCGAGGATGAATTTTAAAAACAAAATTTCTGCGTAAAGAATATTACGTTTGGCAATAAAATGCAGAGGAATTGACGAATTGTATGCAGAAGCGTAAACATTATCGAAACAGAAGTTGTGCTACTAGTATAGCTATTGGTAACCATGCGATGGCGAGTACAATTCGTGATTGTACGAGTGATGTTCGAATAATGAAAAAACTCTAATCCTTTCGACCAATAAGCAACCAGAATTATTAGCCCGCTAATAATGATTTTTTTACCGCCAAATAGGAGGTATTTGAACTTCGAAAAATTGCTATTGGAGCAATAATGTATAAATACTCCTCATTTGTCGACATTTTACTTCAAAGGTATGTCCTAGGACAATTTCAACATGCATGATACAATTCGACCGATTTACTCGAGAAAAGTCAATTTACCGGTATGTTATTACAATCTGCACGATAGCCAAGAGCAGGTGTGGTGACAAGTTCAGTTTTGATATTAACATGACTGTCTGTCGTGTAACACATTGTCCATCCTCCACCAAACGAGGTCATATCACAGTATACTTGAAATGGTTTACCAGCGCCATCTCCGTCCGGGTCAATCAAATATTCTCCGTCTCCGCGACTCAAACCTCTCTTTTTTATATCAAGACAGCTCGTGCCTTGAAAAACAATTGGTGGAAATTATTTTTAGAGTCTTAATTTTTCATAATCTATAGCCTTAATTGCATGTCAGAAATTATTAAAATAGCGAGTAGCGGGAAAAATTGGGAGGCTGCGTTAGGCCTATATGACATATGCAAGAAATACCTGTTTCAGCTGTGTAATTTGGTTTCTTAAAAATCCAGTACTTGCCATCGCAAAACTGCAGAGCAACTCGGTATGTTCTTTCTTGATTTGCTGAACATTTCTCGACTAAGGATTGAAGTATCTGCAAATACAATAGAGACACGGACATAGACACAGATGTATATCAATGTAAGAATTGAATGATCTGCAAAAATCTCTGTGAATACAAAATCGAGAGACAAATATAGTTATATTAAACTTTCATATAATATTCATTTTGAGCCTGATTTCAACAGAGCTGCGCTTTCAATTTTGTATACGGAAATTTTTTTGGAAATCATCTCTCGTTTTCGGTGTCTACAAAATTTGTTACATCTCTTTTAGTTAAAAACGATGCCATGCATACTTGGAAAAGTTCTTTGCTTTTGTACGATCCATTGTTTTACATGCGGTTATATGTAGCTTATAAACGAGACCATATTATATGAATTTCTTTCACCCGAAGTAAGACTCTATTCTAACGTCTGCCCTGTTAACTTATCATTACTTCGAAAAATAATTTACTTTGCCGTCATTTCATTTGCATGAGCTGCAATAAAAATTTCATGCATGCACCTGCTGGCCTGTTGTGCAAAACTAGATTTTGAGTAGTTAAATCGTAGTTAATCCAAAATACATGACTTCTGACTGGCCAATTCTCCCAATAACTATTGTAAAAAGTCATAAATATACCTTTCTATATGCAACCGCTCTTGCACTTGATATTTTTGTTCTAAATACTGCAGTACAAGTTGCTGGCAACTACAGCTGTACACGCACATAGACTCAAATAATTACATATGAATCACTGATTATATTATAATAATTATTATTTAGCAAATATACAAAATGGTTCATTGAAAGTTCATATGGCCATGCATCAGATACATATAATTATGCAACCTTCGTTGATAGAAATATGAGAAACAAATTTCATCACGGGACCGATGGCTTTGCCATATTGCATGAAATTGAGTATTATGAAAGCCAACAGACTCGCGGCGGTTTACTTACTTCACATCCACCTTCAGCCTCATTTAACAAAACCTGAATCAGTATACAAGCAAAGACACCAATCTTCAAACAATTCATGTTTGTACTGAATAAACAATGTAGCCAATGCAAGTAAGATTCTTCAGTCACCAAAAGCTGAAGTGGAAAAGTTATTTAAGTGCATGTTAATCTGCCTCGCTCAGTATGGCTATGCGCTAGTGGTCCGTAGCTCACAAAGTGAATATATTTGAATGTTAAAATTAGTATTGCCTTTTCAAGACACCCTCAAGAATTGTTCGCTCTGATAAGTTGTGTATTCTTTTCTCTAAAATTCTTACGTTATCTTTCATCATATTATGCCCCGTGTGCTTTCTGCATGATCTTTACTTACAGATTGGATTTTCGGTATAACACCTGGTTTTGTGTTCTGTCCGACGGGATTTTCTTGATCCTTTGCTCTCGCCAACATATTTAAATGCACAGCCCGGGCATTTGAACTTATAAACAATACCTTTTATTTCTTCAGACTTTTGACACTGTTCTATATAGCACTGGCTGACCGGCGTAGAAGAGTCGTTCGATGTAGTATCTCCATATCTAAACCTGTTTGTGTTTACCACATTTGGTTTTTACACCACCTGCATGTCCCACTATGTTGGTGGAATAGGATATGTTTATGATTCAGGCTCTTGCATACGTAAGAGTGCCATAGAGCAATTTCATGCCCATTTGAACTCGATTCATATAAAATTTAATATGTTATGTTATATTATATAATGACTTAAGTACAATAGCTTTGCAAAGAAATCAGTCTGGCATAAGAGGAATATACTAGAAGTACATGCATACAAAAGCAATTTTAATTGTATGAAGCCGTTCATAAAACGATCAGTCCGATTTTGTAAGTTTATATGTTATTTAATCATGCAATAAAATAATAGCTATGTTCGTTCAATCTGAATTGGATTACACCGGCCAACAGAAGTAATGGTTATACTGGCATATTTGAGCTGAAACTAGCTTGATTTCTGGGGAAATTATATTAAAGTAAACATACATTGCAACAACAATTTTCAGACGGAACATCACAAAGAGTCTAGACATCACTGACGACAACCAGTGTGAACAATTTAGCTCAGTATATTCGTAAACACATTACACACTCTTGAACTTCTATAGTTTTAAAGTACGATGTGTTGTCTGAATCTCGAACAACATTTGGGTTCGCCACATTTCTAAATTGATATGAACTATAGTGTTTATGCACGCATGTTCAGAAGCTTTATAACTTGAAAAGACTGGCACACGCGCCGGAGTTAACGCCGAGGCAGCTAGGCGTCTTAACCCGCGGTCTATATGCAAAGGCAAAGATTTAACATCAGGATTCACGAAAGATTCTACAATTACGTTTCTGCACATTTTCATGTTTTGGTTCAAGATTAACGCGATAAATCTGCCCTATGCACGCATGTCTCTTGACGCTATTACACTGACATATCAAATTATGAAACCATGCAACCCAAAGTTTTAGTGAAACAGATCTAAACTTATTTTTTACCTCATCCTACCAGTAAACTTCTAAGGCTTATATAAGTGGGACAATTTGGGGCGGCACAAATATAGTTAAGCCAATATAAAAGTAGTTCCTAGAACTTTGACTTTGCAGAGATATTCTCCAGAAGACTCTAGAAGGAACTGTTTAAAGTTATTTGTACAATGTAAAAACTTACCCTTTTATAACTTCAGATTTTGTCAAATATTCTTTCTATCAATACACGCCAGTACAAAATGAGGAACTCTGTTGATCAGGCCTCTCTATATAATATCTATACTTATACACTTGTGCATGACGCAATTTCCTGTCGTGACCTCTATCAATTCAGTATATTTCCAGGTATTGTTTTCACCCATTTCCTTCAGTTGCTAGCTTAACAGGAATTTTTCTAAATATTATATATCTGTTGTGGTATTTTAACTCAAATAGCTAAGTCCTTTTAAAACAAATACATCAAGAGTAAAAAAAACGAACTTTGAGCAAGAGCATATAGCTTCGCTATTTTAATAATTATGAAGCAACCATTTGATTTTGCGATGAAAATTTTTATCGACTATCGGCTTCAGCTTTAAACCGGGTAATATGTTCAGTTGTAAGTTGTAACTGTAGTTATATGTTTCCCATAAGCAGATATTTTGAATTCCCAATCTTTTATAGCTATTTATGTCCGTTCTGTTAGACTCGTAAACTCTGAAACATGATTATCAATTATCCATACAACTGTATTTTTTTTGCTATATAACATCAATACGTTGTCTCACTTTCAAAGTTTCAGTAGCGAACAATGTATAGTTGGGGACCATGCAAAATTTATGTGTATACGGGGCCGGAGCAAAAGGGGACGGGGCACATACTTTTTTTTAGCTGCACAGAAGCGGGGCACAAAGAATTTTTATGTGTTTCAGGCTGGGCACAGCGGGGCACATACTTTTTTTTAGTTTACCTTACCCGGGTACTTTTATTCAAATAGTAACCCTTAACAGATGTTCACCAAAAATAAAATCTTCTCATATGAGTATGTAGACTACTACAAGTGAAAGGCCAGCACAAGGATTATTCTCTTTAGGAGAAGTTCAGACCCGCAGAGGTCGCAGTGTCAGACCTCCTGCATACTTTAGCGATTTCTTCTAATGTTGTATAAAAACGTAGCTATATTAAATTATGTGAAAAGTTCACTAGTCCACCTGTTTTCAACAAAAAGAATAAGCTTTCTTTGTGTACTGACGGTAGCGGGGCAGCAACTTTTTTAGTGAACTTCAGAGCGGGGCTTGAGATTTTTATACGACAACTCAAGCGGGGCTTGCATTTTTTTTAACATTTAGAATTGATTTGCTCCGGCCCCGTATACACATAAATTTTGCATGGTCCCTTGAAACAAACCTCCGAGAAGCTTTGCTGTTTATATTAACTGGTTTATATTACACATTTTTGCCGTACTTCAAAGACATAGCTAGTACAGTTCTACTATTGAAATTAGGGAGATTAAGATCTACTTCCACTACCAGTACCGATACGAAAATACATGACGTATTACAGTTTAGCAGCGCGGAAATTTTAAAGCGTTAAGATTGTGACTTCCGTAAGAAGTAAATAAACATGGCGGAGTATAGCGGCTATATTCACATCAAAAACTCTAATCACAATCCCTAAGTCTCGCCAAACAAAGCAAAAACATTATACAACTAAATCCTAAATAATATTATTAGAAAACTACTGCAGAAAATGACAATAATACAGTAAATATAATTCGGTACTTCGCCTACTTATCCACTTCCATTTTCAGCCCCAAAACCGTACTCGCGACTTCCAGTGTTGTCGCATTTTGGACGATTGTTACGTCTGCGCATGCGCGTGACTGATTATTGGTATCGGTACTCTTAGCGGAAGTCGATGTTAACCTCCCTATTAGGCATAGTCCTGCACAACCCCATTGTTCAACACAAATGATGTGCTATCAAATGATAGAACCACAAGAGCGGTTATCACACAAATTGCTAGTGAAAAAAAAAAGATTTTTAAAATTTTTGGCTGGCTCCAAAACCGAAGTTGGAAGTTGGAATTATGTTATTGACATTGTTTTAGGTATAAATGATATACATTTTAGGCGTATACATAAAAATTATTATAATTTATTTTCTTCAACCAAATATTTCCCTTCACAATTGTCTTAAGTCAAAGGTATAAGGTAAATTGTCAAAAGTATATCTATAAGGCTATATATATAAGGTTAAGGTAAATTGTCAAAAGTATATCTACGTACAGGACTTTTGTTGTGAAAGAAACCCGACACTTGGCCCGCCTCTTTCTATTATGACGCTCAATTGTGCGCTTTGGTATCAAAATAATTATATTTATAATACTGACATATTTGAGCTGAAACTAGCTTGATTTGTGCATATATTATATTAAAGTAAACATTCATTAGAACAATAATTATCAGACAGATCAAACATCACAAAGAGTCTAGATATCACTGATGCCAGCGAGAACCTTGCCAGTGATTTTTCCGTTAGTTGTTTAAAATTGAACATAATTCTATCTAATAATATAACCATATTATTTTAAATGAAATTGGATCAGTAATTGTTGACTGTTATGCCACAGGCAAACGGAACATGTCTCACAAATCAACGTCACGCGCATTGAAAACGTACGTATACTCTATATAATTATATACCAGGCCGAGCTTTTAAGAATTGGAAACAACAGTCTCCGCACTAAGAAATACCAACCCTTATAATTTAGGGAAATGCATGGTTGTCATGGATAGGAACACTTGAACAGCGGATGTTGCAGGCTGCTATTAATATTTTTCTGGATAGTCCTCAACCTTTTGTTCAACACAAAAAATACGAATAGAACCACAAGAGCGGTTATATCACAGAAATTGCTTGTGAAAGTGATTGAAAAAGTTGTTGTTTTGGGAGTTGTAATCGATTATTAGCATCGTTTTATGTGCATGCACATCAAAATCCAGCATGCATAAAACAAATAATCAGGCTTTCAACAACTCATTTGCATATATACGACTGTCTTCGTGGGGGATAATAATGACAAAAGAGAGAGAAAAAACACTATGAATCTATAATAAAAATTATACCCCTTATATATTGACCCTCCTCTCCTTTGTGGTTGTTGTTTTGAAGGAAATTTCCTTCAATTATGGAAAACTAAAAACAGTGCCATGCAATAATATCATGATTCCCACGATCCGTCGCCAGGCAACCAGAAACCACGTGATTGATTCTGACCAATCGCGCGAGTAGATTTAGGTTATTCAAAAGTGATAGCCTGCAACGAAGCTTGGATCTTCAATGCAGCAATCAATGAACTCAGATTGTATAGTAAAAGTGTTAGAGACTTTATGTTCGTGTTTTGTTTACAAATAAACGCACGCGCTGACCATACTCGACCTACGGCCTCGTGCAATAATGAAATTTCTCGTTCATTATATGGTCAGCGCGTGCGTTTATTTGTGAACAAAACACTCAAATAAAAATACTCAATCTTTTGAGTTCGACTATAGAAAGCGACTAAAGTAAATATTCCCGAATATTAAGTGGTTGCAGTTTTTTTATACATCCTGTATGTCTTCGAAGTAGAACAAACTAGTTCAAAAACTCTAGCGGTGTCCTTACAGAACTACAGTATCCAGTCAATATAGCGCCACTTTTAAGTGTTATCCATGGCAACAATGCATTTTCCAAAATAATTAAGGCAGGTATTTATTTCTACTAACAACAGTGCTGAGACGCAATAGTCTTACGAATTGGTGGCTGGTGCAAAAACAGTTTAAGAAAACTCCTCACGAAAACTCCTAACGAGTGATGTCTGCGTTTAGTAAGTATTTAAAGTACTAGTTTATCGTAACTTATAATATAAGAATAAAATACACCAGATGCACCAGACCATTGTTTATATTTTTTAAGGTATATTGATTTTGAACTGAAATTATTCTTATAACCAAATTTAGGCGAAATTGATTAGTGGCACAAAAATCTACATGTATTTCACGGTGCTCTGCAAAAAGAAGTCGACCAGTGATCACAACTTTTAATTTCTTTCATTATTTTAAAATTAACTTGGGTTAATAATTATTGACTCTTATGCACCAGGAAAGGGGAACACGCGCGTGTGTCTCAAATCAAACGTCGAAAATTAAAAAAATTTCAAAAATTGGAAACAAACACGATTTATAAAACAAAACCCTACATAGCTGCAGACATATTTTAGGCCATAGTTCAGAGCGAGATTGTGAATTCTCAAACACTGGAAGTGTTCAAGCTATATATAGTTATATTATGTAGAATAATAAGGCACAAATCAGTGCAATCATGTTTTCGCTGGCAGTAAGTGACAGTAATATCGAGCTCTTTCTAATGTTGTAACTTTTACCTGAAAATTATTGTCGTAATCCATAGTTCCTTTGATATAATGTATGCACAAATCAAGCTAGTTTCAGCCCAAATATGTCAGTATTTTGAAAAGTGAGGCGCACAATCACTCGCAACAATTTCTATCCCCCCCCCCCTGGTACGGAAGCGATTTTAGTTCTATTTTATAAAAAAACCTTACGTCGTTCAAGGGGAACTCTTAATACCAGGGTGGGGAAAAGATGCGAACTAGATATTTATTTCACATCGAATATTTCGATCGTAGAGTAAGAAGTTTTTATTTTAAAAATATGGTAAACTTTGGGATGCAATTAATCATTCGTCGACGTCGTCTGATCGTAGGAGACGTGTTCCAACATTCACCCTAAACTCGCATATATATAATAGGTACCTCAGGTACATATGTATGTGTTCATATATATTCATATATATTCTGCTATATATATCGACAGCCTAAACTTAAAAGATAATTTAACAAATTAACAAACCCCTATGGTGGGATATTCGCAGAATTTGTTGCATAATAATATATTAAGATTACTGATTACAGGCCTGTTTTATTTAGATGTCAGTGTGTTTATACTAA